CGTAGTACTAGATGTCAATACGTACGACGTTCTCTTCGGACTTCCCGCTCTTGTGGCGCTACGAGAAAACCTGGACTTCGAACGACGATCGGTCGTCCTCCGAAATACCAGAGGAAAACCCTACGCTGTGCCCATGCGATTGACCCTTCGCATTACTATTAACGCGGTTCCGCAAGTTTCGCCGATGATGGCAGGGACTCTCCGCATGATCTCCTGGGAGAAATCCGCAGAGGGAGAGTCATCAACAGATGATGCGGAAAAGAGGATGATCCGGAGATCTTGAAATTGGCACGACAACGTGTTTGTTACCCGCCGCCCAAAACGATAGCGGGAACGATGCAACTGACCAGCCGAAAAATTCAAAGGACCAAGGCGATGATCTTGGGCGAGCCCCTCGTGCAGATTTCGAGGATGGTCGATTCTTTGGAACCCCCTCAAACTCTGTACGAAGGAATCACCCCTCTTCTCGCCCGGTACAGCGACAAGAAGCATTACTGTGACATTTCGGATCTACCCAAGTCCTTACTAACCTCGGCTAAAGAAGTGAGATTGTTATGCTTGGGGGCGGAAGCAAGCTCTCTGGAACCCCCTGGGCGTTTTGAAGCAGAAACAGACGGACTGGGGATAAAGATCGCAACTAAGGAAGTGCCATAGCAGGATGTTTGTGACGGGATTACCCCGGAAGGACACGTGGCAATCCGAGAAGAAGATGCCCAGATGATGGCCACAGTATTCTCCTGGCGATCGGATCATTCATTCATCTTGGCGCCTCCACCTGACTTGACAAAACAGGCGAACACGAAACAGATTGACGTTCGGATTTGGGACCACCTTTTTGAACTGCACGTTCCACAATATGTGCCGGATGAAATCCACCGAGTAATTGCGGATATTCTAACGGAATATCAAGGAGCGATTAGTGTGTCAAACACTGACATTGGGTTGTCGTTAGTAATCCAACATGAAATTCAGACAGGAAATCACTCCCCGATTCATTGCAAACCTTATCGCTATCCCTTGATTGAACGCAAAAAGGCTCTCGAACGAATTCTGGAGTTCGAAGCCAGCGGTTGGATTGAACCAGCTACTGGACCTTGGTCTTTTCCTATAGTGTTAGTACCGAAGAAGAACGGGGCGATTCGCATTTGCATTGATTATCGCAAGCTGAATGAAATCACGATCAAAGATGTGTATCCCCTCCCCCGGATTGATGATCTGTTGGATGCGATTGGATGCGCTAATTATTTCAGCAAGTTTGATATTCGGCATGACTTCCATCATATTCTGGTAAGGGAAGAAGATCGGCCGAAAACGGCCTTTGTGTTGTTTGAGGGCACGTGGCAGTGGGTTTGGTGTCCGATGGGGATTTGCAATGCGCCTGCCATGTTTCAGCGAGCGATGAACATGACGTTCTAGAACTTCATCAACAAGACACGGCTGATGCAAGGAATGATTAACTTTTGCGTGATCGTGTACATGAACGACATCCTGGTCTATTCGGAAACCTATCACGGGCACGCGCAACACATCGAATGGACATTGGGTGCATTGAGAGACGCTGGGTTCAAGATTGTGCTTGAGAAGAGCAAATTTTTCCTCTCGGAAATTTCGTTCTTGGGCTATGTCGTGACACGTGGAGGATTGCGGCTAGACTCGAGAAAAGTTGCGGCGGTGAAGGAAGCTCCTGTTCCCACGTCACTGACGTAGGTTCGAGCCTCTTTGGGACTAGCATCGTACTACCGGCGCTTCATCAAGGGCTTTGCCGCGATTGCACGACCACTAACGAATCTGCTACGGAAGGACCAGCCTCTCAGCTGGGATGCGGAGTGCCAACAGGCCTTTGCAACCCTCAAGGACGCTCTGGCAACGACCCCTATTTTGATTCGACCGGACCCCTCGAAGCAGTTCATTCTCGTCACGGACTAGCAACCGGAGGCTATTTCCGCTATTCTAGCGCAGAAGGGGAATGATGGTCGTGAACACGTCATCGAGTACTCGTCACGAACCGTGCCGGACGAACGAAGAAACGACTCCGCACCTCAGGGTGAGTGTTACGCGGTAGTTTGGGGAATCCAACACTTTCATCCGTATCTCTACGGACAAAAGTTTCGCCTCGTAACGGATCACGAGCCTCTGTTGGCGCTGAAGAAACTCACCAACTACACGGGCATGATTGGCTGTTGGGCGGTGCGACTACAAGAATACGACTTCGATATTGTCCATCGAAAGACAGAGCGACACGGTAACGCGGACGGGCTGACACGTCTGCGTCGACCTGCCAAGGTACCAAAGGGCATGGAAATTACACCGTGGAAAGAGCCGGACCTGACTAACGAGCCGAAGTACGGACAAGTGGCAGTTCTCCCACGTGGCAAGAAGCAAAACGGTGGCGATGGGTGATGGAGGTAACCCCACTACCCCTCTTTCTCCCCCGTCCTCATCGTCTTTTCCCTCCCTACTTGACAAATTTTGCTATTTTTGCGAAGCTATCTCCCGTGTCTATTCGGTCTCCATGCGTCCTAACGGGGTGGGATATGCGGATTGGATAGATTGCCGACAGTGTGTTGCGCGAGCCCATGGCTCGTGCATCCAATACAGGAACGATAGTAAACCGTGGTTGTGCCCCTTGTGCCGGACCGACAAAATTCCGACCGAGGCTCGATTTTTGGATGCCACGTCAGAAGGATTGGAAAAGACCCGAAAGTTTAGAASGGCCGAAGTATGRACGGATATTGCCTTAATTGCCACCCTAGTAGGTAACCCCCTCCAGGATTTCACCAAGGAAGATCGGAGGAGGGCCAACGAAAGGGCTCGGGATTATCGATGGATAGAAGGTAGATTAGAAAAACGAAAAACGGACGGTAGTGGGATTTGGATGATAGTGCCGCATCCGTTCATGCGGTATGACTGGGTTAAGACAACCCACGAGGAAACTGCGGCCCATTTTGCCGTACGAATCATGGAGTCCGCTATCGACAAAAATGAGTGGTACTGGTCCAATATCCGCGATGATGTGAAGTACATCGTCGCCAACTGTCAAGTCTGCGCCGCTGATAAACCGCCGATTCAGCCACCAAGGTCGATAGTGCCCACGGTTGTTGAACGGCCATTTCAGAGAGTAAGCATGGACACTACCGACATAGTGGTGCCCCCTGGCCCTAATAGTTGCGAATATTCAGTCCTATTGGTATTTGTCGACCATTTCTCGAAATGGATCGAAGCGTATCCTTGTCGCACGTGGCAAGCCACGAAAATCGCGTGATACGTCAACCGTTTCCTCGGGATGCATCAGGATACGAACGAGATCCTGATTCCTGACTGACAACGGGGTTGAATTCAGGGGAGAAGTGTTAAGGAATCTGGTCGTACATGGCGTCGCCATACGGAACACTGCACCCCACATGTCACAATCTAATGGGCTGGTCGAAAATGCTAACCGAGTGATAAAGACAGCGTTGCGACGAAACATCGCGGCACGGGATCCGAGACCCTGGCCAGATATCCTCGATCACATCATGGCGGTCCATCGCGGAACGCCCCACGAATCGACGGGGCTGAGCCCCTTCCAATTAAGGACCAATAGTGTTGCTTGCGTTTCGATACCAAGCCTCCCGGATGAGTCTACATTGAACCGACGGCCCACCAGGGCCACGGCTCGGGACAAGGCCAAACGACACCTAGAGTTAATGGAACGGTCGCTGCCCAGGCTAGCCCGAAAGCGGCAGAAAATGACCGAATTGGCCCAAGGCCGACAGGTCCGGAGCTACGAGGCCCGAAATGGGAATGCGGGTCCGCGGCCCCAGTACAAATTGGGGGACGTGGTGCAGGTGAGGAAATGTGCTCGCCAGGGTAAGCTAGCGCCACGATTCTTCGGACGATATCGCGTGATCGAGCTTGGCCCCAACGGCGTGGACACCGTGCGTCTCGCCCCTGAAGTCTTTGGCAGTCGATCGGCTCGTCCGATCACACGCCACGTGTCCTATCTTCGCCTCCTTCCCTCTGATCCGTCTCCTTCTCCCTCGATCTCTCCTTCTGAGGAAGCCGGCGACGACGACTCTGACTCTCTGCCATCTCCCTCTCTTTTCTGCTCCCTCTCTGCCACCCCGTCACCCCCGCCATCGCCATGAGTTTCGCCATCGAGTGAGTTTTCAGTGATCAGCTGCTGATGCCACGGGGAGAGATCTCAGCCATCCGCCAAGTGCATCATCCGCGGATGAGCCCCGACTTCATGCGCTCTGCGTAGTTCTTCTGCACTGCGGGTGTATACGGCGCGACGGAGTTCCGATTCACGAGCGATCCCCAGGTAGTGGTGCTGGTCGAGGCTACGGCGTTCCAACGGCGAGCGGCCCCGGGAATCAGCCACGTGTCTACCGTGGTAGTCTTCAGCGGCGACATCACCGCCTTCGATCCGGCGCAGCATGCCGCCATCAAAAGCACCTTGTACCGGTGGGGTCGCGATCTGGCCACTGATTGGGATCGACGGCTCACAAGGCACGGTGACGAGTGCTATCCTGTCGACGGCATCGAAGTCAACACGTTGCGCACGACGCTACGCAAGCCACGTGTCGTCCTCCCAGAACTTGCTCCCTTCCAGCCGCGCAGATGAGCCGCGCGCCGATCTCGACGTTCTCTCCTCCCTCTCTCTTCCCCATCTTCTGGCAGTCCTCTCACTACCCTCGTCTCTCCTTCCGTCTGGAGCCGCTGACAGTACCCATCGTTGATCCGGACCGTTGGAGGTTGTGGCGTGCAGAATTCGTCGAGCTCTCGTTTTGCCTGCTACGAGTGGATCTGAACTGGACGAGGGAAGGCGACCAGAGGCCCGCGTCGGAGATTGTGGAGTTGCTCGTCATTCAGGCGTGGAGGACCAACGTGGTGGGAGATCTTCTGGGATTCGTCTTTGGAGCAGTGGATCGGCGAAACCGATGACAGATCGTGCGCGAACTTACGATCGTGATCGTGCGATTGGTCGACGAACTCCCCCTCGACATCGTTTCTCAGAGCGACGAAGAACCCGTGCCACATACCCTCTCAAGGACTCTCGCCCCGAGCCTCCAGTGGTCGGCTTGTATCGAGGAGCGCTGGGCGGATGACCGTTTTCCCTCCCGTAGCGAGTACCTGGACGTCCACAGCCTGACTAATCCCCGCTTCTTTCGGCAACCAACGGCGTTCGAGTGGGCGGCGCTGAGAGCAGAAGAGGAGGCCGAAGAGGAATCGGAAGGAGAATTGAGGACAGAGGCCGGGGAAGCAGCGGCCCGATTGGCCGAGGACGAGGAAGAAGAGTGCGAAGCAGAAGAAGAGTCGGCGGAAGCTGAAGAAGAAGAAGAAGAAGAAGCAGAGGAAGAGACTTCGGAGGAAGAGGAAGAGGCCTATAGTGAGTACTGCGAGGGCGAGCAAAGTGACGAGGAGGACGAAGACGACGACGAAGTGGAAAACGGGGACGACCCGGAGCCATCGCACGGCGAGCTCGAGTGGGTGCCCGGACCGGATCGACGAGAGGAAAACCCTGAGGCTGCTGCGCAGCGCAAGAAAGAGATCGCGGAAGGAAAGCGGCTGGCGATCGATCCTGCACCGAGCGATCCTTTCAAGGATCCCGAGCCGCCCAAGCCGGAGCATGGAGACCTTGCTGCCACGACCTCGAGAGCCGTGGCGACAAGGCGCCGACCCCGATCCCGATCCACGTCCCCCTCCGCCTTCGCCCGTCCCCCAATTCGTCAACGTGTCAATGAGGGGCTTAGCCCTTTGTCCCCGATCCATATACCACCATCCCCTTAGCTATCTCTCTTTCAATCAGTATTTCCATCGCGTCGTCTACCCCCGTAATCCCTTCCCCATCGCCACCTTCCGACATTTCTACTCCGCCCACCTAGAACTGACTATCCAACCCCACCCTTCCGTTCGGTGTGCTGTCCCCGATTATCCCCTCCACGTTCTACTCCTTAGCGCCGCGTGGCGAGGACGTAACCATATAGAGGTTTACTGCATCGTTACGGGGACCTTCCCTGCGTGCGAGGACCATGATCGGTTCCTCACAAACGTCCTTAGAACCCTCGTCTCCCTTTACCCAGACTACCTCGCTTCCCTTCCCCGCAACGGCCAGCGATTCCCCCGCTTCCATCGCATTGTCCGTTTTCAAGAACTTCCTTACGACCTCGCTGCGATCGGTCGCTTCATACCTGAGCTCACAATGGAGCCGCCCCGCCCTCCCTCATACGCGTATCGCCTTCCCTTCCCCCTTCCAATTAATTATTGATGCAGCAGTAATGGACGCGTGTCGCGGCGACGGCACGAGAAAGGTCCCTCACTTCGATCGTCGAGAGCCCAGTCTGAGGAACTAGTGGAAGAGCAGCGTTGCCACGTTGGATGATGTCCACACGCAGTCGAACGGTAAGTGGCATAAAGGAAAGTGCTCCGCGTGTCGATCGATTAGAGAAATCGACACGTGTCAACAAGCAAGCAGGAGCTTGCTAATATTGGAACCCCCTGGGCGTCACATATGTGACGGACCACTTTCTGTAACGCGCGATTGCAATGAGGGGTCCTAAGCTGGGAAGATTGGGCCAATTACGGGAGATCGGGATCGGTGGAGATCTGCATCAGTGTCCTCGCTTTTTCGTCCTTTTTCGTTGTTTCTTTTTCGAATGGCCGGGCACGGGGTCGGGTGTGTCTTGGGACGGCCGGTGGACTGATGAGTCGGATGGTTGTCTGGCGCGACGCCACGCCCGCGCGCAATTAATAAATGTTGACGACGTTTCTTTTGGTTCGGTTTCGATCTTTTGGGCGCGGACATCGCGCGGGAAATTGCTTCGTTCTTTTTTTGAATTTCCTTTTGAATCTTTGTTTTGAATTTTGTCGAGCCCCCGATGGCTCTCGGAATTTTGGACTTTCCTTCTGCAATTTGTGCTTTTTGCTTTTTCGCAGTAGATAGGAATTTAGGAATTCAATAATTAGGACTTTTTCTGTCGCGCGGCGCCTTTTGTTTACGCGCTTCTTCATGCGGCTGCAACGGTACTCTGATTAGTGGGCGCCCTTAATCGTATGTGTAACTGTAATTAAGGTGGGCGCCATTGTAACTATATCTCTCTTCTTGCACTCGTCTCTCCCGCCCTCCCTCTCTTTCTTTTGCTGAAATTTTGTAAGCCGCGGCTTGCATGATCGGATCGATGCGTCGAGAAGGGTTACGTCCCCCACGCCGAGGCCGATCATGCAGAACGCAGGCGTTCTCTCTCTAATCCTCACTCTAAGTCCTAGTAATTCCGTGTTCTTCGCGCATGCATGCACGCTATAAATTTCGGCTGTGTGATTAGGCGGCTCTCTTAACCCATTGTTGGAAGCTCGGGGCTGCGCGATCAGGAAGGGTCGGCACACGAGCGAAGTAAGAGGTGAGTAGAGTAGGAGTTGGGCGACCCGACGGGCTGGTGCCGAACGCGTGGGATTGACGTGGGCCACGACGGACTGTGGGCACGAGCGAATCTGACGGGTGTGGGAGGACTAAGCGGGGTGACAACTTCGTGGGTTGGTGCGTGGCGACGGACTGTCCGCATCTGCGAGAGAGAGAGAGAAGAAGAGAGTTGAGGTCGATGGACGCGGAATTGCTGTTTCTTTGTCTCTCCCCCCTCTCTATCTGTGTACATACATTTTGATTGCGGCTTCGGGCGGTTTGTCCGTTCTTATTTTCGTTTCGGCTTTCGAAAACCTGGGCTTGGGGTTTTGCTCGCACTTGTCTTGCTATATCCATCCCGATTGCATTGTGTGTATGATTGTCGAGTGTATGGATGTATGAATGTTATGTCTGCTTGTCTATCTTTATGTTGAGAATCCGTGTCTTTGCTTTTTGTTTGTGTCGATTTTTTGCCCACACCCGATGCGGCTGTAGATGGGGTGAGAATCTGGCCCCAATAACGATTTTGGTCTCGTTTTTGCTTATCCCGCGATGGGGGTGGCGATATGATTGCATCTTGCATAATCGACGATCCGAAGTCTGGTCCCGCGAACGCTGCGCGAGAACATATGTAAACGTGATCCGAGTCGCGCCCTTACACGCATTCCAGTGCGTCGATTTGCTCACTCAAAAAGGATTCGCGGCGGGACCGTCATCCCGTACGAGCACGCTGAGGCGCCACCGAGTCTGCCTGCCCTACACGTGCTCGTGCGCGGTAACGATACCTCGACCCGAGCTATCCCATCGACGATGATACCATGACGCGATCCTGGAGCTCAGACTCATCCTATGACCCGGACTATTTCACCCCTTTGAAAACAAGCCCATAAGGACGCGATACCCCTGTCACACGGAGAATCGACTGTGTCCGAGGGAATTCCACTGCGCCACCACTAGCGACCCCAGGTGCTATGATTTCCCTTTCCCCCGACCACACCTACTACTTCACCCACCCGGGATTTGTTGTCATCACCACCAGTTTCCCTCCTTTCCGCCTTCTTCTCCCGTATCATCAAC